CTTCCCCCTCCAAGAGCATCTGCTGCCTGTCACAAGCCTCTGAGATGCTCCTGAAGGGTTGCCATGCTGGGTCCTGCACCTGATCCGCTGGTCTCAGCCCCCTTGGTGGGGCCAGACCTGAGTCTGCTCCTCGATGGGTCATTTGATGCTCATCCATTTGCTTGTCAGTTGGCTGTGGATTTCGCATCGCCTATGAGCAGACACATCCACTGGGTGAAGTTAAGACCGTACAACCAAGCCCTGCAACTCCCCCAGTCCTCCCAGTCTCCCCCTTCTGATGTCGTCTTGCATGGTGGACTCATGGGACGTCACCCACAGCAGCTGTGACCAGAGGATATTTGCTGGTTGCCAAGGATCAAGCTGAAAGCAGAAGATTCGTTTCCCCTTCATCCACTGGACTCCACGTGAGGCAAGAGCCACTGGGGAGCTGGGGGACAGAGCAGCACAGAAGGTGTCCTCTCCCAGCAGCCTTCATCAGGTCTTTGGCATATTTCTTCTCCAGCTGGTGATGGTGGATCTGATCTCAGCCTCTGCCAAGCCTACCTGTTCCTGCACCCCTGCCAGGCTGGGAGCAGCTTCTCCAAAAGTCCTTTGCTGTCAGTTGGGCACCCTATGGGCGACAGACTATCCACCAATGCTGGCCTTGGGGCTGCAGAGATCCTCCTTGTCCTAGTGGGGCTGTGTGGTGAGTGCTCTCGTGTTTCCCCACGCGTCCCCCTCATCCCCAGTGTTGGCTGCACCCCATGTTTTGGCATGAGGTGTGCCAGAGTGCTGCTGCTCCTCTTTGTTTCTGGGTGGTTTGATTGTGGTTGCTGCAAATTTGTAAGGTGCACGTTTAGAGCAACACCCATGGTTTCATGGTTAAGGTGCACGTGTAGACCAACACCCATGCCTTCTTAAGGTGCATGCTTAAAGCAACACCCATGGTTCCATGGCTTCATAAGGTGTGCATGTAGAGCAACGCCCATGGTTTCACAGCTGATTCTGCAAGTAGGGTAGACGAGGACTTGCCAAGCCCAGCTGCAACAAGCAGCTGTCCTCCAGCTGATGGCTGCAGAAGGCTTGAGGTTCCCTCAAAAGTGCCAGTATCTTCTAGACGGTGCATGCTGCAAAGAGGGGAGGAATTTTTAGAGCAGTGCAGCCACGCAGTACATTGGGAATAAGCAATGAAAAGTGAGAGAAACGTAGAAACCAGGTGCACTGAGTGCGTCGCTGCCATTTCAGTAGCGCTGACAACGGGCTGTGGAGCTTGAATGGCCAAAAAATGAGGAGGAATGGGATTTTCCTGCCCAGTGATGGGGAAGGAAATATCATGGTGTTGATGTGCTTGGGTCAGGCTGGTCTGAGGAAACAGGATGGGTGCTTGCAGGAAATAAGGGAACCCTTTGCTCAGCTCCATTCCTTACCCTGGGGTCACGGCTGTTCATCCAGCAAAGCCAGGTTAGAGTTGTGGGTGCAAGAGTCTCTGGCACCTTGTGCTCTGGCTGTCCAGTCTTGCTCAAAATCACTCCCACAAAGAGCCTGCAACTCAGTTACGTGTGCTGGTGTTGTGCTTAGGGACTTCATCCTGCAACCTGTGCAGAGCCAAGCACCTAAAAAGCAATTAGCAGTGCACTTAGAAAGCAATTAGCTAAATGTCTTCATGTATTTTGGCCTTCCTGGTTTTGAGGGACTGCATTCTCAGCAGG